CTAAAAGGCTGAAGCAGTAGGATAGAAAATTTGAGCCCAGCTTGGGCAATTTAGTATGACCCTCTCAAAATAAAAATTAAAAAGGGCTGAGAATGGAGGTCAGTGTGAAGGCCCTAGGTTCAATCCCCAAAACTGAAGAATAAATAATATAACCTGTTCATAGGCAGCCTGGGTTACAGAGTTCAAGGCTAGCCTGAATTATACAGTCAGACCTTGTCTCAAAAAGTTTTAGGTGACAATCAGGGAAATCAATACTGACTGGTTATTGGATAATATCAAGAAATAATTAACCCAGGTACACATGGTGGCACATGACTGTAATCCCAGTACTATGGGAGGCTGAGGCAGGAGAATCCCAAATTTGAGGCCAGCCTAAGCAATTTAGTGACTTAGTGAGATCCTGTCTCAAAATAAAAATAAAAAGGGTTGGGGATGTAGCTCAGTGTGAAGGCCTTGGGCTCAACCTGCAGTGCCACAAATAAATAAAAAATAATCACTTTAGGTGTGTAAAGGGTATTGCAGTTATGTTAAAACTAATTTCTAAAACCCTCTGATATGATGTAATGTCGAGAACACTTCACCTCTGTGATATTCTTCCTTTAAGACCCATAAATCCAGTCTATCTATGAGAAGGATATTCAGCAAATCCAAATTAAGGGACATTCTACAAAATACTCTACCAGTACTTCCCAATACTATCTTGCTCCTTAAAAACAAGTAAAGTCTGACAAACTGCCACATACCAGAAGAGATTAAGAAGACATAATGACAAAATACAGTGTGAGGTTCTGGATGGGCCCCAGGAAAACAAAGGGGACATTATCATAAAACTTTGGAATGTCATTAGTAGGAATGTACCAATGTTCCTTAGTTTTGACAAATTAGCCACAGTAATGTGAGATGGTGCTAAGGGACCCTGCATGAGGGTTATGTAAGAATTCTTTGTTATCTTTTTTAACTTCTATAAATCTAAAAGTATTCCAAGCAAAAGTTTACTTTAAAAACCAACCAAAAAGAGATCTTATTTTTTAGAGATACTACTAGTAGGTCAATGAAATAACAGGATTTTGCTTTTGCAAAATAACTTTTTTTCAAAATAATTCATTTTGTTTATTTGGGTTTTGATTCAAAATAATTTATTGGTTGGGAATGAATCATTTTGAATAGTATATGGATGAAACAAAGCTGGCCTTAAGTTAGTGATTGTTAAAGCCAAGAAATGGGTACATGGAGGGGTCCCATTATGGTTATCTTTATTTTTATATGCTGGAAAACCTCCAGAAAAAAAGTTGACAATAAACTAATAAATACAGACTCTGGAGCTAGACCACCCAGGAAGTTACTTAATCTGTGTGCTACTTTCCTTACCTGTAAATTGAAAATCATCATAATTTTTTTTTTTTTTTTTTTTTTTTGCAGACAGGGTCTCAATAAATTGCCCAGGCTGCCTTCAAACTTTCAACCCTCCTGCCTCACACTTTTAAGTAGATGGGATTACAGGCAGGCATCACTGTGCCTAGCTCATCATCATCCTATGGAGAGAAAAATGGTCACAGACCAAAGCATCATCCTCTGATCTGCTCAGTGCGCTTCTTCCTATTCTCCTGTACTAGGAGGCTCTTGAGGAGGAAGAGGAAGAAGAGTTCTGGAGTGACTCCAAGGAGTTAGGAAAACTCTTGATTATAAGTCCTACATCAGTTCATAACCACTGCTTGGAAAATACAAGTCTTATAGACATTAGAGTTTTACAGAATTAGAGTGCTGTGCCCAGTGTGGGCTCTGAGAACGGACCTCACATTATGATCCACACAAAGCAGGTTTCTGTCAGGCCAGACCAGGGCACTATAAGCATTCATTGGACACCTACTGTATGACAAACACCAAGAGCAGGACCCAGATCAAGATGTCTGGGGAGACACATGTGGCAGACTGTTATCTTTAGATTCACCTCCTTTAGACCCCCACTCTGGGGATTCGGGGCTAAAGAATCTTGCACTGTCAAGCACGTTCCCATTCGGTTACAATTTTACAGATTCCTAAGGAACAATTTGGATAAAACTTTGCCCATCACAACTTGTATGTCAATTTATATTCACAAAACCCTATGGTTGAAAGGGAGAGAGATAGTAATAAAATAATCACTCCAAATCAATGTACACACTGAGGTGCTTTGCAACAGGGGAGCACAGTCAGAAACTCAACTTGGGGGTGGGGATGCTTATGACACTTTAGGAATGAAGAAGAGTGGGATAAAAGTTGAGGGCAGAGGAAAGGTGATATTCCAGCAGATAGTCCAAGGATTTGGGAAGGGGGGTCTTGACACAGCACGTCCAAAGGCTGAAAAGCAGCTAGTGCTGGGGGAAGGTGATTTTGGGGTGGGTGGGTGGGTAGAAGGGAAGAGCTCAACAGGGTGGGCCATACAGACCTTTGGACCCCTTCAGAGGGGAGGTCTTTCTCTAAGAGCCAAAGAAAGCCAGTGCTGGGTATTTTAAGTGTGTGTGTGTGTGTGTGTAGAAGGTGGGGAGGCACCTGATCAGACTTGCACTGTTGTGACACTACCATACAGAAGAGGGAGGGATTGGAAGAGGGCCAGAGTAAAAGCAGACAGACCTGTCCAGTCTTCCACAGTGGTCTAGGAAGTGGTGGGGTAGGGGCCTGGGGCTGGTTTAGGAGTCCAGCCCTGGAAATGGGTGTATGTGAGAACTGGTTTGAGAGGTGAGATCATGATCTCTGGTTGTATTTAGAGGTGGAGACAGCAAGGGAAGTACACAAGCTAATCCCAGGTTTATGACTAGAGTATAGGTGCTGAGCTGCTTGCAGAGACAGGGCGCAATGTGAGAGGAGCAGGTTTGAAGAAGAGAGAATTTTCTCAACATGGTTAAATCACACCAGCTCATGCACTATACCTCATGCAGGCCACTATGTTGGCCAAGGGGACTTCAATAAGACACACAATGCTTTACTTCCAAATCAAGGTACCAGTGATGGCTGCAGGAACCCACTAGCCTCAAAAGCGCATTTATGGCTCCAGCAGTGATCACAGCAAAGGCCCTGCCCTTAAAGCTACTAAGAGGCTCAATAAATGTCTATTGGGTGATTGCCTGTCTCAAGTGCCACACGCAGATAACAGGCACCAGGGGAAAAAAGTAAAAACCAAAAGTCTTTACTCCACATGTTATTGCACATCTAAATCCATCTCAAGGTAAGAAAGGGGCAAGAAAGGACAAGATCAGCCCTTCTCTCAAAAGGCCTACACTGGGGTTTGAGATCATGTAACCATCAAGTTAGAGGACCACAGAGAAGACTGCAGGAAAAATCTAGGCTATAAGGTTCCCACTGGGGGTGGCCAAAGAGGCATTAGGAGGGAATCATCAATGTGATCAGATCAGACCAGGGTCTAAAAGCACCATTGAAGGGAGCAAATGTTTCCCAGAGGATACCAGCCTGACTGCAGGATGAACAGCAGCTTGGGGGGGGGGGGGACGGACACTGGGACACAGGGGCAGGGAATGAAGGGTCACTCAAGACCAGGCAGGAGCACTCTGGATAGTCTCACCATAGGTGGCATCTTACGCCAGAGGAAAATGTCAGTCTCCCCTCACATACTTGGCATGCGGAGATGATCTGTTTTGGGGGGGGGGGGGTTGTTGTTGTTTGTACCGGGAAATCGAACTCGGGACCTTGCGCTTGCAAAGCAGGCGGCGGAAGCACTGAGCTAAATCCCCGGTCCGAAATGATCTGTTTTTAAAAGGAATCAAGTCTCTTTTAAAACCCCTGAGGACTTTTTCTCAGAAGACTTAGAAGCTCTGTAATGATCAGAGAACCTCCGGTTGTATCTAGTCCTCCTCCCACCATCAGGGGGTTAAAAAAAAGCCACCGCACCGACCTTTGTACCATTTCCTTTCTTTCCGCAAAGTTCTTTCTGGTGCTTCCGCTGTTACCTACCCCCGGCAAGCCTCAGTTCACTTTAACCAAGTCTCTTTGCCCTTTTCCTAATAAAGTGCGTTTCCTCTGTGCTGAAGCAGCGCGTCCCGAGTCCGCGCGGCGTGGGAACTGCCCTTCTCTGGCTGTGGCTCCCAGGATGGGCCTCAACGTCCGGGCTGCGGTTTTGATCCCTCGCTCCACGGCCCAGGGCCAAGTTAGTGACTCGCTGGATGGGGTCAGGGAGGGAAAGGACTGCAGTCCCCATGACCAGAAGAGCAGCGTGCTCCGCGGCGCCAGGCCCAGGTGCGGGAGACCCTCCAAGGAAAACGCAGCCAGAGAGGGGCCGAGGCCCGGCGGGCTCAGGGGCGGCGACCCCAGGGGATGACACAGCGCTTCCTCTACACCCCTCACCCCCCTCTCCCCACAAGTCCTAGCTCCATTCCTGCAAGGTACCTGCCGGCTGGGCTTCGCTGCATCAGCGAATTCTCAGCCGGAGGAAGGGGATGCCCCGCCGCCGCACCCGGTAGTACACGGTCCCACCCTGCGGCGCATCATGGACCCCGCTTGGGGTCGAGGAATGGGAGCGCGACCGCAGGGTGCAAATGCTGCCCAGTGGCTCAGCCAGCAGCTCTGGAGGAATGTCAGTCCTGCTCGGGGAAAAGTTAGAAGGCATCCTGGGCACGCCAACTTCTCAAAAAGGGCCGTACTCGAACTTTGTGCCCAGAGAGAACCGCTACACAAGCCAGAGACCCTGCAAAAGCTGCTCGGACCCAGGTGGCCGAACCCGGGCCTCGGCCAGCAGCAGCCAATCACAGAGCGGCTCGGGCGGAACGGCTAGCGGCTTGGGCAGCCAGGAAGTGACAGCGTCATTCGCCAATAGGGAGCCAAGGTGGGAATCCTCGCCCGCCCCACTGACCAATGGGAAAAGGTGGTTGTGGCCGATGTCTCCGCTGCACTAGCTGCAGGCTCCGGTGGCCGCGGGTAGGGAACCCTAGGGCTGACGGGGACTTTGAAAGAGAGTTTGGTTGCCCTCCCTCTGCCACCCGTGAGCCCGCAAACCCCAGCTCAATCCTCACCTGCTGGAAGCGTGGTTTGCCCAGCTGAAAAGGAGGCGTATCGGTCGCAGTGTTAGCAGCACTAGCCGCCGCCGCCGATGCTGTAGTCGCTGTATCCGCCATGGCCACTGAAGCCCGCAATCCCCGGCCCTTTTAAAATGTCCCTCCTCGGCCCCCGCCACAGCTGCCTCTCCCGATTGGCCAGGAGCAACCGCAGCGAGCAGGGCACGCGAGGGTTTGTGGGAAATGTGGTTTTTCTCGTCTTGGCACCCGACAGCCCCAGACTGCAGAGTTGCACACACACAGACCCGATCTTGGTTCCCGCCGCCTGTGTTGCACGATCTGCAGGCCGGGAATAGTGGTTATGCCTGGTCCTAAGGTCCGGGCAGGAGGCCATGGGGTGGCCGCTCGCTGCTCCTCCGCCCCCAAAAGTTTAGGGTACTGCCAAAGCGTGCCTGGAGCAGCAGTCCACGACCTGGGCCAGACGGACAAGGACCCCAGGCAGAGCAGGGTTAATTTGGAAGGCTTTCACAAGTTGTTCTGAGAAATTTTCCTGCAGTTTCTTCTCAGTTGCCAGCCTGCCCTCACGCCCAGGACTTGCACTGCCCGACCCACTTGAATAGCCTGCTGAGAACTTTTCTCCTAATGCTGGCTCATTCTGGCCTCCGCCTAAATACTGCTTTTCCTAACATTTCTCTTCCACAAAATCCACCACAGGATCATCTATAGCCCCTGACACTTGTCTTTTGCAGCACTTGGACTTGTAACTTTACAGGTTTAAATACTTGTCTTTACTACTGTAGGCACCACAGGGCTGGGGCTGTGACTTTTTGATTCACTTAAGACTTCAGGGTCAGGCATAGGACTCCTATTAGAGACAGCTAAATGTGCTGGAGTTAAACATCCGGAGCTAAAGAGCCCTGACAGCCTTCACTCCTTTGGCCATCAAGGAAGATCCCTCCCAGGCCTAATTCCTGGAGGGTAGGGAATAGGGTTTAGTAGTGTTTTTGTCCAGTACCAGCTACAAGCACTTTAAATGCTGGAGTACTGCAGGATGTAAATCAAGGCCAGCAGATAGTACTTGCTCCTGCAGAATTGGGCTGCTGAAAAATCCCCACCGGGCAATGGGCCAGACTGGGGCGGAGGAGGGGGTGCTGCCTGTTTCATCTATGAAGACAGAATTATTTGGTCTCAACTCTAGGGAACCCCTTTCGGTCTCCTTTGCCTAATGGTGAGGTGCAGGGTTGGCCTGCACCTGCCCATCTCTTTCTGGACACTGCATGAGTAGCAGTCCAAGTTCCTCATCCACTCACTAATGGCTGAGCCCTCAAAAATAGAATTTTCCTAAAGCTGGAGGGATTCTAGCTAGCCATGAAAAACAGTTTGTATGTTTGATTTGTATGTTCTCTCCCCTTACTAGACTATTAGCTTGAGAACAAGAATCAAGGTTTGTTTTTTGTTTTGGTTTGGTTTTTTTGGTACCAGGGATCAAACTCAGGACCTTGTGCTTGTGAGGCAGGCGAAGGCACCACTGAGCTAAATCCCTCGCCCTCAAGTGTTTGTTTTTTTTTAAAGACTCAAGTCTTTGCCCTCTGTATTCCCCCATAGCACCCAATAAAAATGCCAATAATAGGTGCCCAATAAACACAGCCACCCTGGGAGTGGAAAAACACCAAGTCCAGGCCACTGTGCATCGCTGTGCTGCTGCTTGTGACACTAGGGCAGCAGCATCTAGATGACACTAGGGAAGTGTCATCTAGGAACCCCACAGGCAGCCTCTTTCAACCACTCATTTTAAAACAGGAAAGCAAAAGACCACCTGGAGTATGTGGACTTTTTATTCTTCATAAAGTGCTCAAAACATGAACAACAAGCTCTTTATAAACAGGAGGTACACCTAGGGAGACAAACAGCAAAGCAGAATGGTGCCTGCTACCTGCCCACCCTACCTGTAGCTTGTGGTTAGGAGCAGAAACATCAAACAACAACCCTTGGCTGCATTCAATTCCAAACCTCTTCTGAAGATACACCTACCCAGGGCTGGGACTAGGACCAAAGAGCCCAGAGTACCTAGTAGGGGAATGGCCCCTCCCTCAGAAAAGTCATCTCTCTCATCTTCAATGACCCTTCAAAAATGTGACTGAAGATCTGGGCACCTATGGATACATTTCTCAGCTCTGGTGAGTGGACTCTAAGGTAGGCAACTCTGCAGAGGCTTTCCCCCGGGTATAGGACCCCTCTGCTCCATCCTGACAGAGGACTGCCATCACCCACAGAATGCATCCCAAGGCCTAATGGCAAGCCCACAGAAGACAGCCTCAGAGGAGCTCTTCCCCTTCACTAGGCTAAAAGTATCCTCCTTTGACATGCTTTCACTCCCCATCTTTTGCTAATGCAGGGTGCCCAAGCTACCAAAGGATCCCTGCAGATGTTGTGGGGAAACCTGCCATGTTTTCCACAAGCAAACCAGGGACTAGGCCAAAGGACAGATACTTCATTTCAAAGTGCACTGTAGCCAAACCAGGCAAGGCAGATGGAACAGGCTGGGACAGCAGGTTAGTGGATGGGTGGGAGAGCAGCAAAGGAGTACAGGTGTCTCCTAAGGCATAGTGAGGCCTCCCATTTCCAGAACAGCCAACTGCTCCAGTATGGCTGAGTCCTGAGGCCAGGCTAGTGAGCAGGGTGGCCCCAGACCTATAGTTCACCAGAGGTTTTTATCCTAGAATCCTCCAAATGGGGTTGAAGAAAAGGGGAAGACAGCAGGAAGATTAGTAGCAGCAACTTGGCCAGACCTTTAGCCGAGATACTCTCAGAAGGGGAAGAACACACAGCAGGACTTTTCGACCCCCATTCCCTTCCCAGGACCCTGACAGGGACACCTGGTGTGCTCAAACAGGAGGAAGGGGGATGCCACAGCAAAGGAGAGATCTACATCCAGAGGCTCTTGACCCCACCCACAAAAGGCACATTTTAATTGGTTTCCAAAAGTTCAAACCCTGCAGGACCACAGAGTTTTGGCATCTGGACAGGAAATAAGAACAGACACGGCAGCTTGATCCCCAAAACATAAGCAGCCTAAAGCTCTGACATGGTGGGGCCCATACATCAGAGATGAGTGGGAACCAGAAGAGCAAGGAGGAGCTCTCTCCTGACCCAGCCCTACCTTCACACTCAACAGTGACACCCAGTGGGAAGGTCCAAAGAGGGTCAGGGAGCAGCCTGGACAACACACATCACCACCTCCTTCCATGCTGCACTTCGCTCTGCAACAGCTCAAGGCAGAAACAGACTCCAGACATGGCGAAGACTAGACTGGACCACACAGGCCCCTGCTCTCAGGGGAAGGACACAGGACTGAAGAGTAGGCACCTGGATTGCCCACAACTTGGGCAAATGGTCAGATTGGTCCCTGTCCCAGTCCCAGTAATACTAGATCCCCTCCAGATCCTGGAGGGAAATGAAGAGGATGAGGGACTGCCATGGGAAGGAATGGCAGACCATCCTTGGGGAGTAATAAATCTGTGCTCACAATAGCTTTTCTCAGACACACCAAACTGCAGCCCACTCCTGCCGGTCTTGAGGACTAATTTCCTTGTTCCAATTCCCCAAGAGTCCTCAAAGCTAAGGGGTAGGAAGAGAGGCAGGTGGGAAAGACCTAGGGTCCCCACAGACACACAAGTTGTACGTGGAACTTGATGCCTCCAGTGGGAGTCCCAGGGCCCCCTTCAGAGAGGCAAGAGCAGGGTGGCAGGGAGTGACCACAGGACAGACTGTACCCTGCCCAGGGGAGTGTGTTCAGTGGGAAGGAGGACAGGCAGGCAGGCAGGCCCACAAGCCTTGTCTGGGCAGCAGGTCCTCACCAACCCTTCAGGGGTGGGGGTGGGGGTGGGGTGGGGTGGCTACTTGGGGGGACCAGGAGGGATCTGCAGCAGTGTGGGTGAGGTCTCCATGATCCGAACTAGCAGCCGGTCAATGTAGCTCTCTAGCTCCTGCACATGCTCATCCCGCTGGCTCAGCTCACGTTCTCGTTGCAGGAGCAGACCGATGAGCTCGTCGTGTGTCAAGTGGTAGTACTTGGCCGACTGGTCTGGCACAGCAGAGTCCTGGGGCCAGATGGAATGGGAGTGAGTGGGATGGCCAGACCTGGTACTCACCTGCCCACCAGCGCCCCAGTTCTCCCACCACAGGGCCTGGAGCTACCTGTCTCTGATGTCACAGACAGTCTAACTGGCCTCAGGCCTGGCATGGGGGATACCGGCCTGCTCCCTGCTCCACAACTCCTAGCCTTTCTGTCAGATGCCCCTAGCACTCTACTGGACCTCACCTTCAGCTTCTTGGTATCCACAGTCTGGCCAAGCTGGGGTGCCGGGGCCACAGGCTGAATGCTGCCAGATGTGACTGTCTTGAGCTTCTCCAGCCCACTGCTCAGGGCCGTGCTCAGACTGGAGCGGGGTTGCTTCCTGTCTGGGCTGCCTTCGACAGGGGTTGCACTGAGGGGCTTCACAGGGTGGGGACTGCAAAGATAGAAGGAGATGGATTATGAGGAGAGGAGGATGGTATAAATTTGGAGCTGCCTTCTCTATGGAGCTTCCAGGTCTGCTGGACAGCTGCACCATGCATGCCTCAATCCTTCTCTCACCATGTACTTCCTCACTTCACTCTCTCTTGGACCTGAGGAGCTGGCCTCTGACAGATACAGCAGAGACCACCCTACACACTTCTGTACCTGGACCCAGTCTGCCAGGGATGGCCCCCCTCCAGTCATCTTCTCTCTTGCCTCTTCTATACTTTTTCTAATTAAACTATATTTCTGGAGGGATAACCAACCAACACTACCCACTCCCATTTCCCTAGGACTACAGGGATTCCCAAGACAGTGCTAAAATCAGGAAAGTCCTAGGGCCCGGGATTTAGCTCAGTGGTGCCACCACCTGCCTTGAAAGCACAAGGTCCCGAGTTCAATCCCTAGTCACCCACCTGTCACTACTTGTTGCTTCCCATGGATATTTAAGCAGGCCTGTGCCTGCCTAAATTCCCCTTGACCCTGTATTTGCACTAAACCCTCACCCTCACTCATCCTCCTTTAGAACAGGACCCTGGCTCCACCAGCCCACCACATGTGAACTTGCTGAAATTCTGACTCAGTTCTCACCTCCTTGACCTCTCTGTGGAGTCCACACTCAACCCTTTCCCTCCTTTGGAATGCTCTCCTTCTCCACCTGGTGTTCTGGCCTCTGACAGCCTCCTCTTGGTCCTAAGTGCTAACACCCTCAGCTTCTCTCCCCTCCTCTTTGCACAGCCACCAGCCCAGGCCTTCCCCCAGGCTCTAGCTCTGTGCAGTCACTGCAGGCTGGCTCACTTGCTCCCCATGTGGGATTCCCTCATACCTGCCTTTTCCTCTGTGCTTCTAGCACAGAACTTCCCAGGGTCCTTGACTCCTTCAGCCTCAGCCTTAACAATCAATTAGGCCCTGCTACCTTCCTACCCTCTCTCAGAACACTCCCTCTTCTCCAAGCCAGTGCTAGCTACACCTGACTTCAGCCACAGCCTCTATTCAACTCCACCATCCATCACAGTCCTGCCCACCTCCAGTCACACACCCACTGTGCTGCAGCATTAAGATTTTACCTCAGGCCAGACATGGTGACACACACTTGTGATCCCAGCACTTGGGAGGCTGAGGCAGGAGGATTGCTAAGGATTTGAGGCCAGCCTGGGCTACATAGTGACTTCAACGCTAGCCTGAACTACATAGCAAGACTGTCTCAAAAAAAAAAATCAATGCTTAAAAAACCTTTAGTACCTTTGATGGAAGTAGAAAACCCAATCTAACACATCCTGGGCCTACCCTTTCCTCATGGCCTATTACTCCCCCAGCCATAGGAAGCAGCGCTGTTTCTTAACTTTAGGCACTTATAAAAGCTATTCTCTGCCTGGAGCAGGCCCTTTTCTCCCAATGGCCTAGTTTCTACTCCTGTTTCAAAGCTGTGCAACACAACCTTCTTGATTCCCCAGACTGGGAATCCTGAGATCCCCAGTACTCTACACCTATGATATGATAAATAACCTATAATAAGCATCAGGCTCTCAAATCAGCTAACTTGCCCTAGGGGTACCTCTTATAAATTTATACTCATTCTACAGCAGGTTTAAGCCACTCAGGAATAGGAAGCAAAATACTTAATCCTGGGCCCTGAACTCCACTGAAGGCAGAGGGGCAGTTGACAAGCACAGGACAGGGTTTGGGAAGCAGGTCAGGCTCTAGCCCAGGTCTCTGTGAGCCCAGCCTGCTCAGGCACTTGCTGGGTCAGTTACTGGAGTTCACAGAGCATCTGCTCCGTGTCAGTTCAGGGGGGAAGGCAGAGGCCTCTGCTCACCCTGACTCAGAGAAGCACCTCACTGAAGAAAGGATGACCAACCAGCACAGTGCTGAAGCTCCCTCAATGAGCAGCCAGGAGGCCCAGGTCCACAGTTTGACTACCCCTACATCTGAAGGACCCTGGGCCCTGTAGCTCTTATCTGAGACAGAGTTGTATTTGGCTCAACCACTTCATGATATAGGGTATACACTAAAAAGACATAAAGCCAACTCTGGAAACAACAACTTCCAAAAAGTGTTGAATATAATTAGAAATTGTGCTGGAAGCCAGTAGGGCAAGCTGAGGATGCTGTCATCAAGGAACAAGGAAGCCGCTCACCCTCCCTCAATTCCCCTCACTTTGGGGGAACACAGCACCTACCTGCCCTTGGGGAAGAAGGGCGGAGATCCCCAAACTCACCCCTGCTATTTCTCAAGTATCAGCCCTGTTCCCCAAGGCTCCTCCTTCCCAAGACCTTGGCCTTCCCCACTGGACTGGCACAGATGCTCAGTGAGCTCCGGTAACTGAACCAGCAAGTGCCTAAGCAAGCTGGGGTCTCACAGAAGGCCTGTGCTGCAGCCTGATCTGCGTCACAAACCGCGCACCCTGCTCACCCCTTCTCCACTCAGGCCTCCCAGAGCATGAATGTCCCTCTGGATTCTGCTGCCCCAGCTGAGTCACACCCACCACTCCCAAGACTCCAAACCTCTACTCTCATCTCCTCTCACCAGCCATCTGGTCTTGGCCTCATCATTCTTCCCATAGCCCAGTGCCACTGTGACCAGTCACATAGGCACCTGCTCCTGAAAGACCCCAAACCAATGAGAGGGCAGCCAGTGAAGCACCCACTGTCTCTGGAAAGCCTTTTTACTGAGGGTTACATATGAGAAAAGCATTTTGCTTTTCTTTCCGTCCTTTGAACGTGCTTCCAGCATGTTTCCTAAGCCCTGGTCCCTCTGGCTCTCTGCTCCCCAGCCTGCTGGACAGGAACCTGCTCTGGGCTCCACTGCCAGCCTACTCCCCAGAGACTCTAGGGAAACTCCCTGCCCTGTGGGCACAGCACTCACTCCCCTCCTCTGCCAGTGCACATCAGCTCTCCTCCATTTTGTTCCTCACCCCTGCTCCTTTTCAGTGTTGTTCCCCAAGCTCCTGGCTTATAAGCCACCCTGCTAAGGTCTCATGACAGAGGCAGCTTCAGAGGTGGTACCGCCACAGAATGCTCATGGCTTCACAGCCTCCACCATTTCCTCAGGGTGAAGGAGGCCCTCACCTGCCCTTGGTAAGGATGAGGCTGGAATGAGAACATCTCTGCCCATCATGCTGCTGTCCCCCTCCTCCTCCTTCCTCCTGGAAAAGGTTCTCAGGGTGGAAGCTCACCTGGCACTGGGCTGTGGCTCTTCAGCTGGTCGTGTCTCCAAGGGCAGAAGCACAAGCAAGGAGGCTGGGGTGGCTGCAGCGTGGTCTTCCCCGAGTGAGACAGGGGAGCCTTCACCAGGGGAGGGCTCAAAGGAGCCGGGGGGTGAGTCTGGCTCCCCCGGAGGTGGGGAGGAAGAGGTCAGAGGCCAGGCTCCATAAAGGGGAGAGCACGGAGGGCCAGGGTCTCCATGGTGGTGGCTGGCCCAGGGCAGGAGAGGGGGTGGTGGAAAGGTAGGCTCTGGGGGCATGGGTGGCTCTTCTGGACCAGAGTGGATGGAAGGATCTCTGGACCCTGGTGGGGATGTGGATGGAAGGCTAGGTGGATCTTGGTTCCCCCTAGACAAGAAGGGGCTCAAGGCATCCTCCTCCAAGGCCCACAGATCAGCCTGCTGAGGGGTATTTGATAGAGGAGCAAGGGCCTCTTCTCCTGGCTCCTGGCTCTGGTTCTCCAGACCTTCTCTCTCTGGAGCCCCCCAGGTCTGCTGACTTGGAAGAGCTGAACTTGCTGAATAACAGGGTATGAGCAGAGGCCCCTCAGGGAAGCTGGTGGACACAGTCAGGCAGGCCCTGGACCCAGTGGGGCTGGCATTGTCTACCTGCTCCTCTAGGCCTGGCTCATCCAGCAAAGTCCCAGAAGATCTGCTATCGGACTCCTCCGACTCAGGTTTTTCACTCTCTTCCTTGGCTTTCTGAGGACTAACAAACAGAGCACTTGGGGTGGCGTCTTCTTCTGACCCTGATCCCTGGTTACTCAGCCTCCCTGCAGCTGTGTCTTCTTCTTCCTCCACCTGAGAGTTCGAGGGCATGAAGAGGCGTGGTGGCTTGGGAGGTGGTGTGCTGGGCTGCAGCCCCTTGTCTGACCCCCACTCATGTTTAAGCTCTGCCTTCAGCTCCACTGAGGAAAGGCCCTTGCTCCGTGTGGGATCCACAGTTTCAGGTGATTCCAGCAGCACCTGGGGAACAGGCAGCTCATCAGACTCTCCCTGCAGGACTGGTGAGGCCATCTCAGCTGCAGGAGAAATGGTGACCACATCCCAGGGCCAGGAATCATCAGCGGTACTGAGCTCATGGAAAAGCTGGCTTTTTCTCTGGGGGGCCTCCACGTCCTGGCCCTCAGGGGAGTCATCCAAACCAGGTAGCTGCTCCCACGCACTGATCACTTCTGGGGAGCTGAACAGAGACTTTCCACTATCTGCTGGACTCTGCCCGGTTCCACCCTCAGGGGCCAGTGGCTCCCTGTCTGGTGCTGAGGCTGAGGCTTGCAAGTGCAGCTGGGGGGGCAGGGCAGTCCCTGCCGACCCAAGGGGCCCTGGGTCAGATGCACTCATGGTCTGCTGGTCCAGTCCCAAGTCCAGAGGAGTCCTGGACTCTGACCACATGCTGCTCCCACCGCTTCCTCCCCCAGGGTCTCCTTGGGGCTCAGTTGCCTTCACTGCCATTGCCCCTGGGCCTGAGTCTTGCAGCCCAGACGTCTCCGGCCCCACTCCAGCTGGGACCAGGATCTTGTTCCTGGCCTCTGGATGCAGCCTGTCGGCAGCAAAGACGTTGAAGGTGTCGTCCCACTCAGGCAAGACTCTCCCAGGGGAGGCCAGGGGGGCGGGGCTGGCCTTCGAGGCACTGGGGAGAAAGGGAGCAGGTGAAGGAGAGTTTAGTGTTATGTTGGCTACGAGCTCCTCAAAGAAGGGGTTGCTCTGCAAGGAGGTGAGGAACGGGTTGGTGACACCCAAGAATCCAGACTGGGTGGCTTCGGGGGTGGTGATGGTGGTAGTGGTGGTGGTGGTGGTGGTGGTGGCAGCGGCAGCAGCAGTGGCAGCAGCGGGGGAGGCGGCTGCAAAAAGCTTAGTGCTTAGCATGGAAGCAGCAGTGGGAACAGGAGTAGGTTGGGCCAGAGCCCAGGGGGAGCAGGGGAGGTGGTGAGGAGCGGCGGCTGGGTCAGATTCTACCTGAGGAGACACGTCCAGGCTGTGGAGGGAGACAAAACCGTGAGCCTCCTGGTTAATGCTGAGACCATTAACTGCCCTACTGAGTACTATACCCCTGTCCCACCTGCTATCTTGCCCCTCCTACCCCAACTCAGGATGAGATCCTGCAACACCACACAGGCTGGGCACAGGCACTTGGGCCAGGGGTCAAAGGGTAGACCCCAACATATAACATTAGGTGCCACCCAAGAAGAACCTGAGCAGAGCTAATTTAATCCTCACATTAACTTCACACAGCAGTAATCCCATTTTACAGGCAGGATCCAAACCTAAACCAAATGAGTCTATCTGACATTGGATTTGTGCTTATTATGCAATCCAAAACCACCTGACATCCCTTTTAGGACTGAGAACAAGCAAAGAAAATACCAGCTGGCTTGAAGAAGAGCAAGAGATCAGAGCAACGACAAGCCTAGGTTTGGCTGAGCAAAGCTGACACTATGAAAACTAATCAGGGCATGTGGAATTCAGGCTCCTGAAACAGACTGGGTCCTACTGAATTTCTGCAGAATGAAAGAGGTAAGAAAGGGCTGTCATCAGGCATGACAAGGCATCAATCATTTCTTTGAGGAAGACAAGATACCTGTTGAGGGTGCTTATGGTTGAGCGTCCACATAGCCTGGCAGGTGGTGCCCCCCACCTCCCTCATGGGCCACCCTTGGGAGACAAAGGCTGAGAACGTGGCAGCCACAGCAACTTTACATGTTATCAGCAACCTTCAAGGTCTTCCTCCAAATCCCCAGCTCCCCTTGGGGGAAGAACAGGGCAAGTCCTCTCAGGAAATCCATTCCACAGCAGTGAGTCTACACTGAAGACCAACTTCAGGCACCCCTGACAGTTCTCCCAGGAAGAGGACACCTGCACCTGAGCCCTGTCCACAATGACTCCACAGATCTCAGGGATACTCTGAACCTAGACCCTTTGCTTCTTAAGGACACAAGAGGGCTAGAGAAGTAGTGCAGGAGAAGAATGGGCTGAACATTCCAGTTTTCAGCAGTATGACAGTGGCCTGAAGCTAAGCCTGTCACACCCAGACCTCAGTCTCATTCCCTGCTATCGAACAGTCTCTTCCTCATGGCCAGTCTCCCACCCCCTCTCCAAGCTCCCAATATCCCATTCCTTGACCTCTGCCTCCCCAGGTAGAAATACCCAAGGGAAACTCCTCCCTATTCCTCTCCTTCACTCAATCAGCTTCTTCCACAGGAAATGCAATGCTGAGCCCTGAAGCAGAAGCCAGGCTTTAGTAGCTACCCCACAAGTAAAGTTAGTTGGAGTTCACCTGGGGAAAGAGGCCAAACTGTCTGGAGTTTGCCAGGTTCTAGGAACTCAAGATCTAGAAAGGGAGGGCCTGCACAAGGGACTGGCAGGTGACAGGAAGGAGTCCATCCATTTCAACCACAGGCAAAGGTGTAGGGAGGGGTGAAGTCAGCCTCATATGCAGGACATCACCAGGTTCAAAACCCATGGATTTCTCAAAAAATCCAGCTTCCTGAGATTCTTGTGACCCTATTTTTTTCCTAAAATAACTCCCTATCCACAGGTAGATTTTCAGTCTCATTCCTATCACATTGATAGTGATGGAAAGAGGAAGTATAATTCCCATGCACTCCCACCCTGCACCCTAGGCTCACAGCATTACCCAGCTTCTATTGGACAGAGGAAAAACACTGGACCAGACACTCAACCCCAGAAAAATGTCCCTTCTTCATTTTAGGAGGCCTAAGGGCCAAGGCACACAGGCCTGCCCCAGGAACCAAGAGTGAGAAGCAAGTACCACACCATGTGTGTCAAGACCCTACCCTCAGCCCACACCTGAGCAAAGCTTCCATACCAGCCCCAGCCCCAACCCTGCAGCAGGGCTCTAGCCACCAGGATCAGGTCTGGGATACTCTGAGCTACCTCTCTCAGCCTCCTTCATGATGAGAAGCCGGGGCCCTAAAGGAAGAGAGTCCCATCAATGAAAAAGAGCAGCAAGGCCAGCTCCACAACCCCACAGCCTAGCCTGGTCCCCCACTCACCCTGAGGTCTCACAGCAATCTGCGGGCAGTCACAACTGCAGGGAGAGGAGCCCCAGAAGTAGACTGGGAGCTCAAGCTACGTGTGTCAGCCTCCCTCCCACAGTGGCTCCCCAGAGACACACACAAACCCGTTGGTATGGAATCAGCAAAGGGCTCTCCCTGGAGGATGGGCCCAGGAGGTGCCCCAGAGCTAGCAGTGCATGACCGCATCCTGTCATCCTGTTCTCCTGTATCATGGGCCCCTGTATCATGGCCCCTTCACCCATCGCTTCCTGCTCCACATGAAAAGCACATCAATAAGGTTTTCATTGTACACCATCTCCTCACTACCAGTCCAACTGGCACAGGTCAGAGGCACAGTCCCGTGTGTGGTCCTCTCTGTAGGTTGTGCTCCAGGAACAGAGATACAGTAAACACCTCTGTGTCCTAGAACCTACATCCTCCCACTTTCAAGCAGTGAGGTTATAACATTTGCTGACTTTTCTCTTTTTAGGGGTAAATACTGGAGACAGAAATCAGAAGCCCAAATGACCATGTCTCTTCAATTGGGAGAATAAAACTTCAGGGCCTATAGGAATCTCAGGACAACTGGTTGAATATGCCAGTTCATGTGAATCACCTATTCAATCAGACAACCTCCCCCCTTATAGTCCACACCAAGGGCCACCTCTGAGTGGCTGGGCAGGTTTCACTAATAGCCACTACTTCCCTGGTCTCAGATGAGCTCTGTGGCCTTGTTCCATGCTTTAGTCCCAGAGATGGCGAGTTGACCTGCACATGCCACCAGGCAGTCCCTCAACAGGCCAAAGTGCCCTAAGCCATCCCTTCTTGAGCAATGGCCTCCCAGCTTCCATTTCCTCTGTGTCCAGAAACCAGTGAGAGAGGGTCCTTGTGAGCTCTAAGTAGGGAAACCATTATCATTTATCTTCCAAAGAAGAACACTGTTAATATAGTAATTATGTCAGGAAAACAAGCACAAATGGGACCGAGCCACATGAACTCTAAGTGACTGGGCACACATTACAGTTACTCATTTACACCACTCAGAACACAGCCTGAGAACTGAACTCTGTCAGTACCACAGCACATCCTGGCCCACTGGGACCCACTGTTCAGCACACTGGAGAAAGGGCTGGTGAAACCCCGAAAATGGAGAGATGCTAAAGGCCACAGCAATGATTCACTTGCCTCTCTGTCATACTAGATTTAACCCCAATTTTTTTTAAAAAACTGTATTCACATTTGATCTCGCCCTGTGCACCGTTCTATGGTTAATGTGGGGGAAGGGAATGGGGTAGGCACAAAACAATCCACTCCTGCATTGGCAGGTTTAACACACACGGCCTTGCCTGTCCTTAAGCACACTAAGCAGCTAGTACCACCCCTCCATGCATGTGGCTCACAAGAGGGCTGCTGAGCAGGGATGAATTCATAGCCCAAGCAGGGTTGTCCAAATCGCCCTCCCCCATATACAGATGGGGGCTTAGTGTAACAGCCCCTAACCAGCAGACAAGCTATGTCTGAAGGCACAGGGAGACCCATCTTCTAGGCCTTGTGCTACCAGCTACTGCATTCTCCAATAGCAACACATTCTGCTTCGGGCCTCTCCGTGGGGCATCATACCACAAGAGAGCACTAGAGGGCGATACTGCCCTTGCTACAGAGGAACACCAGCAATCTGCAATGGGAGCCCCAGGGCAGACACCCCAAACCCCCAGGCAAGTGGACAGGCTCCCCTTGTCCCAGCTGGAGATCCTGCAGCTACATTAGTTTACTCCAGTTCTGAGTCTAGGCTACAGTGTGGTGCATGAGCTCTCCCACCTCTCATTTGTCCTCAAAAGCCCTAAGCAAGGTCAGGGCCAATTTTTTCTACTAGGCCTGCCTTTCCCTCACTGCAAGGGATACAGGGCCAAAATTCTGCTGCTAGAGCTTCTAAGCCAGCACTTCACCCAAAGAGCAGGCTCTCACCCCTCCCTGGATGCATAGCCCCAGAGCTACTTCAGCTGCCCATACCAATAGGCCCAGGGAGTGCAGGGATCTCAAAGGTCCCCTCCAGCCTGCTGAGGATAAGGCTTGGATCTGAGTGTGACCAGGACAGAAGCCACCAGCCACCCAAATCCTCTGAACTCTGAGGATTAGAGTGCCATCAGGAGACATAGGAACAGGAGAAGGAAATTGCAGACTGTTGATAGGTGTAATGACCACCCATCACTCAGTCACAGCCTGCAGGAGTCTAAGCAGAAGCCTGTGTGCTCACCTACAAACCTCACAGAAAGATGACCTCAGTATCTGCCCTGCTGTGGAGAGACCCAGAGATACCTACAGACACTGCCTCTGAGCCCATGGTCTGTACCCTTCTACCCAGGTGCCCCAGCTCCTTCCAAAAAATGCCTGTCCAAGTCATCTGCCACCTTCCTCCACCCCGAATACCTGACTGCCACAGGGCCATCAGGGTCAGCATGGGTACCTGGCAAAGGTCTATCTCCTTCTCTTCTCCAAGCATCCCCTCGGCTGTAGGTAACCAGAAGTCTTTGAGGCACTAGTAGTAGGGGCTGGACAGTAGGGACAGGAGCTACCATACTAAGCAGGGAAGGAAAGGGCAGGCTCACCCCATGACTAATCTATCCCCACACTCCCTTCCTATGAGCCCTAAGAAGGGCATCAGCTGGCCCTAAGGGGGGGCCCCACCTGGAAAAGACCTGCACTTCTCTCCCTTCTCTCAGCAGTCAGTATTCCACAGGGAAAGAAGAAAAGTGGGACTACAGGGTTCCTCTCCCCTCTAGTAGGGTAAAGAGGTAGGGTCTCCCTCTGCTGACCCTTCTGACCCTCCACCGCTGGGCTAGGCTTCCCTTCTACCTGTCCTCATATCCATCAGGTAGCAAGGGACTTGGTGAGGGAATGGAAGCAACTGGCCTCACACCACTCACCAGCTGAGGCTGCCACAGATGGTGCTGTCTGAGGCTGGAAAGGGTTACACAAGCTTCTATAACCTACCCTTGGAGTCCCTCCTGGATTCTGCCAGACAACACAGCTTCCTCCCCTGGCTCAGAATGAGGAGGCAGCAAAGGGGTCAAGATGGAGGTCAGGGGCTCTGCCCAGGACCCAACTGGGGGACTCAGCACATATAAAACAGGTCAGCCATCATCAGCACTCCCTGTGATGCTGTGCCCAACACCAGGAGACACAGAGGGCCAGAGCCTGAGTAGTCCCCAGGGATGGGGATTACATTGTTCAGGGAGTTGCCATGGCATCTTGGGCTAGGAAGTAAATGGAGTTAGAAGAAGGTTGGAGCATCAATCATTTGACTCCTAAAGAGATCCCAGAGCCAGCAGGGAAGCTGAGGGTGAGGGTGTAGCTTCAGAGAGGGTGGACAGTCCCCAGGACCTACCTCCCTACCCACCAACGCTTCCCTACATTGAAGGCAGATGGCAGAGGTAGAGGTCAGGAAGCCAAGAATCCACAAAAGCATCCCTGCCCTGCTTTTATCCTCTCTTCTCAGGGGCCGAGTATGCAAGTTCATGCAGAAGCCCAGGACAACCTCATCCACAGGACCTCAGGGCACCCTTGCAACTCACCTGTCTCCATGTGCACAGAACGAGCCTTGGCTTAGGGAAACAGGGTAGTCCCACTTTACCATGCAAAGCCAGAGCCCCAGCAGCCTGCCCAATGGCCATATCTGCTCCCTATTCCCAGTCCCAGCCTCCAGGCAGCAAACATCCCAGCATCCTCCCAAGGAATGGACTGGTTTTGCCAAGGACATACCTGGGTTTCTGAGATGATTCCTTGGATTCTCTCAGGCCAAACCAGCTACTCTTGGCCTTGTCCTCCCCACTGGACAAATGCTGGGGGGAGGCCCCTACTGTGGGACCACCCTTCTCCCCTATAGAGCCACGACGCCCCAACTCGCTCCAACTCAGGCCCTGGTGATGATGGTGGAAGAGACCCATCCGGGGCTTACGCTCCTCCTTCCGAGCTCCCTCCTTCTCCACCACAGCCTCAGAGGAGACCAGTATGGGTGTGGCAACCTGGACTGGCTTCCCCTCTGGGGTCTGGGCCCGCTCCTCCCTGGCCTGCGCTTTGGCCTGAGTGCTCAGCTCCTCCGGTCCAGGCACCACTTCTGATGAGCTGCCAGCACCCCGGCTGCCTCTGCCCCAAGAGTCATCCGAAGATCGAGACCCCTCCTCAGAGGGCCGGGAAGAGACGCTGTGAAGGGAGCTGGAGGGTGGAAATGGGCCAGAAATGGAGCTGCGGTGCCGTGCAGGAGCTTGGGGCTCTTCATTGTAAATGTGGCTCCCATTGACACAGAGGGAAGAGCGGGGGCCAGCATCAAGGTGGCCCTGGAGGTCAAGAAGGGCCCGGGTAGGGGCAGCACGCAGCTGGCTGGCCTCATCACTATAGGTCCTCTTATGGGTGAGCAACTTGGGGGACTGTATAGAATCCCTGCCTGCAAAAGAGACACATGCAGAGTTAGCACAAGTGAAGAGGAGCCCAGGTCTTCCTCACCACTCCTCTCCCATCCCCAGGGCATGCAGCCCTCCCTCACTCACCCCCTTCACTGGACAGCCAGCTGCTGCGGCTCGGCGAGCGGGTGAGGAGCTCAGCGCCAGGGCCCTGGTAGGCCAGGCTCCCACTGGCCGAAGACAAGGTGCTGTCCGAGCCCAGCGAGGTGTTGGACTGAGTCAGAGATGACTTGCGCAGTTTGTTGCGGAGGAAGAAGCCTTTGGCTTTGCCCATCTTGCCCAGGCTGCCCAGCTCGGGATCCTCTAGGGCACTGCTTGGGAGGATGGCAGAGGCAGATTCCAGGTCATACTTCTTCTTTCCCTTCATTTTGTCCTTGAGCTTGCTGAAGGGGGACTGTGGCTTATCCTTTATGGACAGGTCAAACATGCTGGCACTCAAATTGTTTCGAGTGAACTGGATGGTGACTTGGATCTCTCCACGTTCCTTCTCCTTTTTGCCTGCCTTGGAATGCAGCTTGTACCACCTGTGAGAGAAGGTGGGCAGAATTCTGGTGACAGGCCCATGGCCCTCAGCTTCCCCCAGTGCCCAACACCTCATAATGTCTCTTCCCACAGGCTCCTGTTCTGACACGCCAGCCCAGGGTTCTAAGCCACAGGCCTCGCTGAGAAACTGTCCAAAACTTTTCCATGATGGAAAAAACCACATCTGGAGTGGGGAAGCTTCTCAGGTGGTGCCAAGCAGGGCAAAGGTTACCGCACCATGCCCCCCCTCCCCCAGCACCTTGTCCATGAGCTCAGAGACCCCATGCTGCTTCATCCTCCCAACATCTGAAACTCTTGAGGCTGGGCCTGGGAGGGGCCACCACCTATCCAGGCCTCTGGTACAGACAGACCTACCCACATTTTCCCCTGGTAACATCATGTCCTCTAGCTAGTCCCAGTCAAAGCCCCACTCTGAACCATCAGAAAAGAACAGCTCACACAGAGGCCCATGGCCAGGAACACTACCTCATGCACACACGTACACACACACACACACACACACACACACACGCAAACGCACACCCTGACTCACCCCACATCCTGCCAAAGTACTTCTGTGAACTGGAGGATCAGACCAGAACAGCCAAGAGACCTGGGGTTGTGGTGGGGCTCTCATCTAGTGATGAGTGCTCTCCCTTACTCTCATTCATGCCTCGAAAGAAGGAACTCCTGGGAAAGAAGACTCGGCCCCTTCTACAGGTCAGGAGGGTGACACTCAGATGAAAAAACTCACCCAAGGACAAGCAGACAGCGAAGGAGAGAGGAGATTCACAGCCTGTGTTGTTCCCACTCCATATTCCTCAGGGAGTCAAAAAAGACCCCTAACAGGGCTAGGGATTTAGCTCAGTGTTTCTGGCACGCCTTGCAAGTGCAAGGTCCCAAGTTCGATCTCCGGTACCAAAAAAAAAAAAAGACCCCTAACACACATGACCTCTCACAGGGTGAGCAGAAGCTGCTTTCCTGGGGAGCGGGAACTGGGCAGGGGTTAGCCGCGGAGTAGACAGCTAAACATAATCTCACCGTACAAGGAACAATTGCTCCTTGGTTTTTACCAATGGAGGTGAAAACTTACGTCCATAGGAAATCCTGCACACAAATGTTTATAGCACCTCTACTTATAACTGCCCAAACCTGGAAGCTGCTAAGATTTCCTTCAATAGGTAAATGGATAAGCAAATGGGTATATATCCAGAGAATGGAATATTAGAGAGCAATAAAAGGAAATGAGCTGTCAGGCTAGGAAAAGACAAGGAAGGATTTGAAGGGTGGTCTGAAAAGGCTAAATACTTTGATTCTGCTATAGAACATTCTAGAAAAAGCAAATCTATAAAGACAATAAAAAGATCAGTGATTGCCAGGAGTCTGAAAGGAAGGAGAAAGGATAAATAGAGCATTCAGGATTTTTAGGGAGTGAAACTATTCTGTGTGACACTCTAATGGCAAATACACGCCTTTACATTTTTCAGAACCCATAAAATGTACAACACATAGAGCGAACCATGAAGTAAGCTACAGGCTCTAGTTAATACCAATGTATTGATATTGGTCCATCAATTGTAACAAATTCATAATACTAATAATGTGGTAATAATAGAGGAAACGAGGAGGGGCTAAGGGGATATATGAGGCTTGTATATTTTCTACTCAATTTTCTATAACCCTGAAAGTACTCTAAAAATAAGTTCTATTAATGAAAAAAAAAAAGAACAGAAAATATAAGAAAAAAAATGAAAAGAAATAATATAAAAAAGTTTTCCTGGGCCAGGGATTTAGCTCAGTGGTTCTGCTGCCTGCCTCACAAGTGCAAGGTCCCAAGTTTGATCCCCAATACCAAAAAATGTTTCCCTGATCTGAAGGATAAGAGCACCAGCACAAAAGGCCCCAAGTATGCGGCACAATAAGTAAAGACGGAGCCATGCCCAAGATGTTACTATGATATTTCCCAATACCAGGCATAAGAAGGAAACCCTGGCTGGGAATTTAGCTCAGTGAGTGAAGGGGGTTGAGAGGAGGGGTTATTTGTATGAAGCATCTAGTATATCCAAATATCCAGACTTAAGTCATTGTAAAGACTTGGCGGTGGTGTGGTTGTTTTGTTGTTTGTTACTCTTATTGAAGTTTTTCTTTTTTTTTTCTTTTTTTGGTACCGGGGATCGAACTCTGGTCCTTGTGCTTGCGAGGCAGGCGTCAAAACCACTGGGCTAAAACCCCGGCCCAAAGTTTTTCTTTTTAAAGGCTGTCCCAGGGCACCTGCAGTTGCCTCCCTTTGAAAAAGGCCATCAAGACTAAACCCTCTAGTCCTTACATTGGGTTACTGTGCATCCTCGCCTTGGGGCCACACTCCCATTGCCTGAGCAGAGTGAGTCTGGGCTATTGGCTTTCTCTCCCACTGCCCAGGGAAGGCTGAGCCAGGCACATCAGGGAGGGAAGACAGCCATGCTCAGATGGTTATGAGTCTCCACTGAGACACACAAGGGAGGAGAGCAAGGTGAGAAGAGCCAGACCTGAAGAGAAGTGTATGAGGATGTCATGGAAGCCATCTGCACCTTCACCCTCCACCTTCTCAACCAATGCCCACCCTGGGCCTGATCTTTTAAGTCTTTAAGACCACAACCTAGTCACTTTGCCCAAACCCAGACTAGGCCTCATTTATACAGGAAGACCCTGGGAGGTAGAGTAAAAGAAAAGTTCATGAACTCCACCCCTCAATCCAACCAAGCCCCATCTGAGTAACTGGAATCAGCCACACAGACATCTTTTGCTGGGCATGAAGGTCAAGGGTGCTGGGACCCAGCTGGTCACATTCCACACATGCAGTGGTAACAGTAGTTATCTCTGGGGTGTGGGGCATTGGCTATTTTTGTCCTGTTTGAATTTTTTATAAGGAGCAAATATTACTACCAAAAGAAACCCCACCTCCTATCTTATTCCTCAACTTCCTGTGCCACAGAATGGACCACTCTCCCTTCCCTCCTCTGAAGTGAAGGCAGAGGCATCACTACCCACCCTGCAGTTGGCCCTCTACCAGAACGGTACCCCTCCCTGTACAGTCACTTCCCCAGGGAATTCATTTCTCTCTGGACCTGCATTTCAGGGAGGCCAGGAAAGGAAGGGAAGGGGAAAAAAAGGGTTTCCTCAGTTAAGAATGAAGCTAAGAATGATGGGGACTTGCAGCCAGACCCCAGACACCCTGTCTCCCCACCAACTCATCCCACTTCCCTCTGCCCACTGGTCCAGGCAGGACTGAACAGGACTGAACAGGACTGCCAGGTGACTCAGGAACCTGAGGACTTAACCAGAGCAGGCCTTCTCCCAGAAGAATGATCTACTCAGGATGAGATGGCAAGGCCACACAGCCAACAGCTCCTGGATGAGGCTGTACCCCCACTACCACCACCAAAGTGCCTGCTTCCCTCCTGAACCAGGCAGCCTCCAAGGTCTACTATTATCAGGCACTGTAACACCTGCTCTACCACAGCTAGGCAGCCAGGAACACTACCAATGTGGGCACAGGAGCCCTTAGTAACACATCTGGCAACTGTCTCTTTTCAGAATCTCACACCTGGCAGACCCAAGACTAAACTGACTCTGAGCAGCTCATCCCTACAGACTGAGGCTCCTATTGCTCTCCATGAGAAAGAAGGTGGTCACAAGCAGCCAACAATGCTTCTGATCAGTCCCCTAATTCTCCATCACAGCTGCCAGCTCCAAGGACTCTGGTTTTTGATCCCTAAATCTGAGCACAGTACCTGGCCTTCATAGCAATGCTGGGTCTTTTAACAAATACCCTGATCCCCAGGACTGGACACAGAGGAGACAGGTTCCCAAGGCTTTCTCTCCCTCTCACTGCCCTTCACCCAGCCAGCCTACCTGAGTGGGCCATCAGAGCTCTAGGAACCCTGAGGTCCAAGCTGAAGCTTTACCTGTCACTCCCATCCAGGCCTGAGACCCAGCCAACAAAATTAATCAGGATTTGAGCAAGGCCTCAACACGAACCTAGGTGATGGCTCACAGGACAGAGCATATAAATGAATGTAAATACCAAAATACTACCCAAGCCTTACTAAACTATAAGATCCAGACTAGGAACCCATATTTGAGGAGGGGGCAGTTTCAGATGATTGCACTCGACCCTATATGGGAACCACGGTGGGATAGGATAGTCCCTCCCTGCTCTGTATCACCGAGCAGGGCAGACACGACCTTTCCTCTGCCTGGCTTCATCCTCAAGACACTAATGTGGGCCCAGGAAAAACCGGTCACTCTATGCCTGGCTAAGGCTTGCTTCTCAAGTCTCAAGGACATGCTGCTTCTGGGAGGTCTGACCCTAGAAATGGCCAGCCCTTCCCACAAGGGGGTGACTTGCCATAAGATTTATATATGGGGGAGGAGTAGGCATCATTAAACACTTTCTATAAACTAAGAGTGCTGCTGGGCATGGTGGGGATGCCTGTAATCCCAGCACTTGGGAGGCTGAGGCAGGAGGACTGCCACAAGTTCAAGGCTAGCCTAGGCTACATACTGAGTTCCATGCCAGCTTGAACTACATAGCAAGACTCTGTCTCAAAATAACATCCCCCCCAAAAAAACAACAAAAACAAAACTAATTAAGAGTGCTTAGAAGAACTAGGCCTATTAGAGAAATGCAAATGAAAACAACACTGAGATTCCATCTCACTCCAGAAAGAATGGCTATCATCAAGAAATCAACCAATGGCTGGGGATTTAGTTCAGTGGCACTACGCCTGCCTCAGAACCGCAAAGGTCCTGAGATCGATTCCAGATACTGCAAAAAGGAAAAGAAAACAACCAATAACAAATGCTGGCAAGATGGGGGGGGGCTGATGAGAGTATAAATTGATACAACTACTATGGAAAACAGTGGAGATTCCTCAAAAAACCAAAATGAGAGATTCCATTTGACCCAGCTATTCCCGTTCCCAAAAGACTTAAAGTTATCATACCATAGCGATACATGCAC